CGGAGAGCCCCGCGTCCCCGCCGGCCGCGGGTTTTAAGGTGGGAGGCTGCTTTTCTCTTCTATTTCTGGGCTGTGACGGGTGAGCGGAGGGCTGGGGGGTTCCTTCTCTTTGGGTGGGATGCTGGCCGCCACTGTAGGATGAGGATGCCAGCCAGCCTGGCTCCAGGATGTGGATGGAAGAGAGGGGAACTCCCACCCTGGTGCTGCTGAGCCCTTCTCTCCCCCAGGCTGGGGCACCCACGAGCCAGGCAGTGAGGTCTCCATCCGACACGGCAGCGGCTGCTCCACGTCCCCCCGCTCTCTCCCACAGGACCGAGGATGTCCTCGATGTTCGGCAAGCCCCGAAACAGCAGCGAGCGGCCGCCCCAGAGCCCCCTCCCCGAGTGCAACGTGGCCATCCTGGGGTGCAGAGGGGCCGGCAAGTCAGGTGAGACGGGCACCGCAGCCACGGGCAGGGCATCGGGGAGTGCCGGGGTGCCGTGAGGAGATGCCTGCCTCACCTGCCTCTTTCACCTCCTGCAGCTCTGACCGTGAAGTTTCTAACCAAGAGGTTCATCAGTGAATATGATCCCAACTTGGGTAAGGCACGTTTTTATCCCATGGAGCATCCTTTCCATCTCCCACGTTTCCCATGAATGTGGCATGTAAGGGGAAAGAAAAAACAACCCACCCAAAATTATATAACAAACAACAAGGGCTGGATTTGACCCAAAACCATCTGCTAAAACAGAGGTGAAAGCAGTGCCCTGGGAACATTGGCTCCTTGCATTGCCCCCAAAAAACCAAAAGCTGAATTCTTGAAGCTCTTTGAGGAGCATCTCATGTCTATCAGGCAGGGAAAAGGCTGAGGGAATGAGGATGGGTGCACAGCAGGCGACCCTGGGGCTGAGTTTTGCAGTGAGCAGTTCTGGGCATTTTTTTTCCACTCATTTGAGTAATTAATAACTATTTTCCTAGGCCTGACTCCAGGCTGCACGGAAGAACCACAAATGATTTATTGGGGACATTAGGGAGATATGGACCTTGTCCAGGAACCAACTCCAGCCGCTAATAATTTAGTGACTCTTAGAAAGAAGGATAAATCCTTTCTTCCTCAGATATTTTTGGGAATGTGGTTTCATCTTCCCACGTCAAAACCTTTCTGAAACGCATCCGTTAAAAGCTGGCCCAAAGAAAGCATCTTTCTCCTCGGGGAATGGCTCAATGACTCTCCCTGCCTGCCCTCCTGCCAAAAGAAAGGACTGCTCCACTTGATTTATTGGGAAACAGTCCCATGTCAAGCCCCCAGCTTGCTTTATATCATCAGGCCATGGCTTTTAGATAAGGGCCAAGCCCTGGGTGCAGTGATTATTGTGCCAAGCTCCTTACCCTCCCTCCTTCTCCTGTAGGAGCCCACACTTGCAGCACATGGGGAGAAATACGTGCTCCTAGCCAGGCTTTCCCAGCAACATCACCCCCAGTCCCCCAAAATAATGTCTCAGGAAGGAGTAAGGTGGGAGGCGTTGGTGGAGGATGCTCCTCATCAGAGCTGAAGTTTTTCTACGGTGTCCCAGACATCCTGGGCTTTGCTTGGCTTTGAAGAAGACAGGACGTGCCAGCCCATCCTCACAACTACCCTTCTTCTTGCAGAGGACACCTACTCCTCAGAGGAGCTGGTGGACCAGCAGCCTGTGCTCTTGAAGGTGATGGACACTGCTGACCAGGTAAGGCATTGGGGGGATGATGACCAGCTGGACCATGGCTGGATCACAACTGGACTGCAGCTCAGCCACTCCTCTCACACCCAGGATGGCCCCAGGAACTGTGAGCGTTACCTGTGCTGGGCCAGTGCCTTCCTTGTTGTCTACAGCATCGACAACAGGCAGAGCTTTGAGGGCTGCCAGCGCTACCTCGAGGTGCTCGCCCTGCACGCGCGGGGCTGCCAGCGCCGCTGCCCCGTGCTCCTGCTGGGAAACAAGCTGGACATGGAGCAGTACAGGTATCGGGCACGCGGTAAGGCTGCCAGTTCCGCATGGGAGAGAGCTCACAGATCCCTCCAGCTGGCATGCAAAATCCAAATCTGATTTCTATATGGGTATTTCCACTCCCATTAGTATTTGCAACATCCTCCCACATCTCCAAAGTTTCTGCTCTCCTGCCTGAGGGCTGATGTGTTTATTTTGAGCCCATTGGTATTTTCAGTAGGATGTTTTTTGGCTGAGTGGTGAGGCAGCGTCACCATCCCTGGCAGGGCTTGAGCCAGAGGAGCCCCTCTGGACATGCCCTTCCTTTCCCTGGAGCCCTCTAGTTCCAGCCCCACTGCCAGGACTGGATGTGCCCAATATGTTTTTTTGGCCTTTTGTGCTGCTCTGTGGTCCCACGGGTCCCTGAGTCACGTGCATTGCTGGAACCCCTGCGCTCCCAGGATGGAGGTATCCCCCTCCCCACAGCAAGGACCTGCCCCATCTCCGGCTTCCCAATGCACTGTCATCACACTCACCCCTGGGTTCCTGGAACACATCCCTAACAGGGGAAGCTGTGTGATTCCCCAGGGACACACAGAGACCATTACTCTGGGATTTTGGGAAAGGCAAAAACTCTTTTGAATTCATGTACCTGCGTGTCCCAGGGAAAGGATGGGCAGGTGCTACCTTGATGCTCTTTGGGAAGGAGGCGTGGGATGCAGGATCTGTTACCTGCACCCTTTTCGGGTGGCTGCCATGCCCCAAGGGATCCTGCACCCATCCCTTCCCCTCTCAACAGGCAGGTCCCCTCAGCAGAAGGGATGTCCCTCGCCAGCAGCTTCGGGTGCCTCTTCCATGAGGTGTCGGCATGCCAGGACTTCGCTCGGGTGCAGCACGTGTTCCACGAGGCCGTGCGGGAGGTGCGGCGCCAGGCGGAGTGGAACCTGCCCGTGCAGCCGCTCTTCATCTCCGAGGAGCGGCCCTGCCCGCCCGTGGCCACGCCAGTGGCCCTGCCCACCCACCACAGCTTGGCCACCTGCACCTTCAACACCCTCTCCACCATCAACTACAAGGAGATCCCCTCGGTGGCCCAGGCCAAGCTGGTCACCGTCAAGTCCTCGCGGGCTCAGAGCAAAAGGAAGGCTCCCACGCTCACCCTGCTGAAAGGCTTCAAGATATTTTAGGACGCATCCCTGTGGGCTGCAGAGGGGGAGGAGAGAGACCCTCTGAGACCTTCCATGATGGACTCACAGGCATTGCAGCAGCTGCTGCCCCGGCCTCTGTGCCAGCAGTGGCAACCAGGCGAGCAGGCAGAGTGCCAAGTGTCTGACATGGGCTGTGGCATCGCTCTGCCTGCCCCTGCCCAGTGCTGCTGTGGTGTTTGCACCTTATCCTGCCACTGGCACTGAGGCCAGCTCAGTTTTCTGTGAGGATGCAGCAGCTCCCAGAGGAGCTGGAGCTGTGGATACCATTGGGAGGGCAAGGGCCGGCCCCACGGCTGCCAGCCACCTTGGGCACCTGACACACAGGAGCCCAGGAAGGGAGAATTAATCATTAAGCCAGCATGGAGACACCCACCTTGTTCATCCCACAGGTCCCCAAATAAGCAATAAGTAGGAGAAACTTTTATTTTTTTAAAATCCAAATAAAAAGGTGCAGATACTGTTTCAGCTGCTTAAAGGCCTCAGGTGGCCTGAAAATTATACCCAAACATCAAGCTAAGTCACACCAAAATTGCTGCTTTTTTAATTAACTTTTTACACTACAGCATCCCTTTCCAAAGGCTTTGCAAGGAGATGCTTTGCTGACAAGGACATGGTCTGAAAAGCCTTTGTCTAAAAGACTGACGCATTTTCAATACATATTTTCAATAATGTCCTAAATTATTTCATGGCTTCTACATGTGCCCAATGAAGAACAGAAAGAGAATTCTGGAGCAGATCAGGCTCTACCTGTGCCTGAGCCAGGGCCAAGGGCTGGGTGTTTGGTTTCAGGTGCTCTATCAGGTTAAATGTTCTACTTCTCCCTGGAGTTGCAGTTACTTTATGGAGTAAAATATCCATGTGTATATTTGTACATATAACCATATAAATATATATATGACCTTACTGACAGATTCAATATGGCAGTTTGATCAACCACTTTGGAAAGTATTTTAATAAAGAAGATTCTGAAAAGAATAAAAATGCCTCAGCTTCAGTATTGCTGTTTTCCTGATGGGAAGTGAGGGTGCTTTCCCTGGCTGACAGCAGGCCAAGCTTCCCACTTCCTCTCCTGGCTCAGCTCCCACCTGTTTGCAGCACCTGAGGGAGGAGACGAAGCTGGCACTGGAGGGAAGGCTGGAAGCAGCCGAGAGCAGTGAGGGAACACCAGCCAGGCAGCAGCTGAGCTCAGGGCCCCTCCTGCAGGTGCAACTCTGCTGCTTTCTTGTTTCACCCTTTTCTTTCCCCAGGCAAAACTGCATTTTTAAACTTGCACCTCTATGAACTGAGATTTCAATGCCTTCCTTAAGGCCTAAATGGGCTGACTTCAGCTGCCACTATATGGCCTCCTCAGACATCTCTGTGTACAGGGATGTGACAGTCCCGTCCTTCCACTGCACTGTCACATCCCCTGGTCTCTGGTCCTGGGGCCCTGGCTCCTGCTTTAGTGGCTTGGCCGGGCTGTATTCCTGCACAGGCACCAGGGCTTGCTTGGCATCCAGGTCCGCCTCCTGTGTGGTTTCTGATGCTTCTCCGTTTACGAGAGTCTTCCTTTTCCTGCAGGGAAGGCACAACAAAGACACACAGAGTGAAGCAGCAAGCCCAGCCCACATCTGGGGACACTTATCCTGGTGAGGGTCACAGCCAGCAATTTGCGCCGTGTCCCTGGAACACGCCAGCTGCTTCTGGGCAAATGCCACCAGGTGAGCTGTGCCAGGTAAGTGCTCTGAAGTGTTTAAGCACACACAGCTGTGGGATTCACACTCAGAGAACACCCAGCTCCTGATGCCAGGAGCAGCACACAGCCAGCCATCACTAGGGGGAGAGCGAGGCAGGCTCGTAGGGTTAGCTCTTCTCTCAAGACAGCATCTCTTGACACAGCGCTAAGTTTTTGCGCTGTAGCAAACAGCGAGCTGCTCCTCAGCTGCAGCGTTGTGCAGCTACTGGGGAACTGTGGGGGAATGTGTGTGGGGAAAGGCTGGGAGTCCTGCTCCAGAGCCTCTTAGGAGAGAGCACCTCACACCACAGTTATCATCACACCCCTCCCAGCAGCCCTGCTGGGCTGGGCAGAACTGTGCAGATCTTTATTCAATCCAGGGCTCAGAGAAGAGGCTTGTTCCAAGTGACACGAAGTGAGCAGACATTGGGCAAGGTTTTATAACAAAAAATGGTTCAAAGGGAGTTTCCCTTTGCTCTTTTCCCCATCACTCAGGGCTTGTCCTGCCCTGCCAAACCCCTGTGTCTGTTTGCCTTGGAGGATTTCAGGGCACCACCACACACCAAATGATTCTCGAATTTTCCTGTCTCACCTGTTTCGCACAATGTTAATGGTCAGAAGAACAAGACCCAAAATCATGGTCGCAAGGGAAAGCGCAAGAACAGAGTAATTCCATGTTGAGGCTGAGGGAAAGCAGAGAGGCAGTGTTAGCAGGCACAGTACAGTGTGACACACACAGCCCGGCCAGGGGTTTTCTGAGGACACCCAGGATGCTCTGTCCTTGATTTTTGTGGCTTTGAAGTTGATTCTCATGACGCTGACCTGTTGCTATGTCAATCTGCTCCCTTCACCCTGCCAAAATCACAGGAGACCTTTGCTCTCTTGGCAGGCTTTGCCTGGAAAGAGGCTGAACCCCAGAGACACTATCTCAGCAAAGCCTCCTGCCTGTCTTCATCTATGGCCTGCTTATTCCAGAGGCAAGACTGAGGCTTTGTGTGTCTGTATCACCTCTTCAGGCAGTGCCCTCAGGCATCTCTGTTAGGCAGGAAAGTTAACAGCCATGGACTGTGTCTCAGCCCAGGAACACCAACGGGACTTACGGTCTTCTCTGCGGAAGAACCAGAGCAGCTCCTCCAGCTGTTCCGGTTCCAAGCCCAGTGGAAGGGTAACATTGCCTGCTGTGTGCTCGTCCACGTGTGTGCTGGCCAGGGTGGTTGGGAGGTACTTGTGCTCTGCCTCAGCTGTGGTGGAAAGTGCAATAGTCACTCACTGCAGCCCTTCAAACTGGAAGTAACCTTCCCCTTCACCCCCAGAGTTGCCCAGCACATCTCTCCAAGCAGGCAGAACACAGCAGAGTGCACAGCCTGATTGCATGCACTGAGATATGGAGAGTGTTTTTGGCAGCAGACCCCATTATCGTGGGACACCAGGGCTGCAAAGACCACAGGATGCTGGTCTTTCCACATTTCCCATCTCCCACCATGGAGAGGCACCTCAGTGTGCCACAATTCACCAAACAGTTGCCCTTGCCAGGACCAGTCCTGGGAATTTGACTCTGAACTGCAGTCCTCCAGCAATAAATTCCTATTTATCAGGCTGGTTTGTATACACAGCTTGACTAGCAATTTTTTATCAGAAAAGCTTCAGTGTCTGCAAAGAAACCAACACATAAGTGTGGGCAACCCCAAGCACAGAACATACATACAGAATGCAGATGGGAATGACACCCAGCTCTGGAACTGGGGTGCAACTTTTTCCTTGGCTCAGCCAGGCTGCTGCTGTTGTATACTGAGGTAAATAGCCCCACAGAAAGAAAGAAACTGTATTTCCTGGGAGTTAAGGTCTTTGCACATGTGACCTACTTCACCCACACCATTATTCTTTAATCCAAGACTCTACCTTGCAGCAGGAAAAATGGAATTATCCAGAAGAACTTCATATTTGAATATGCAGGTGGGATGGATCACGCCTTCACAGTATTTCTTCAATGTGGAGATTCCTGTAAAAGACAGAGAAGCTAAGGAGTTGAGAGAGAACCTGATTCCTCTGCCTACTCCAGCTCTATTCAGAGAGGGGATCTCATGTACCCAACATCTGTTTCCTCCTGTGAATGTGAGTCTGAGCTGCCAGGACAGGGTGCAGAAATCCCTGGACCACCAAGGTGACAGCAGAGGGTGTCTGGCATGGCATCTGCTGCCTGCGGTTGGACCCCTTGCCGAGGTGAATCTGTAGAGATGTGAGCTCAGCTGCTGTGAGCCAGCCCCTCCCCAACTAACAAAGCTTCTCTGCTTGCTCCCCTGCCATAATCCCTAGAGAATACATACTTTGCATGTGACTACCTATTGCCAACCCATGGATGGCAAAATGAGGGTGTGGAGATGAGGAAATAGAAGGCTGAGCTCCAAGAGGAGGCAAGGCTGGCTTGCCATTGAGGCTACAGTGTCTCCCATCCCTCAGGGAAACAGTCCTCCTTGACCTTTAGTCCCTCATTTGTAAGTGGCATCAATCCAACTTTTATGGCTGCTTGTCCAAATCAGTTCTTCAGCCTGCTTTGAAGGGACCTGCCCTGGGCAGGGGTTCCTGGCTGTCCACTCTGAGTTAGTGAGACATTGAGGTGGCTCTCCCCAGCCCACTGCTCGCTGGCCATCACTCACTGGCAGGTCAACAATGCCACAACACACAGGTGTCCCTCAGACATTCTGGCCCCACAGGCCATTAATTATTATATGAAGACTTTTATGACAATCTGATACTCTCAGCTTTCACCTGCCTTTGCTGTGTGGCCTGGTGCTGTCTGAAATTTGTTCACAATCATGTTCCACAGTGCCAGGCGTGTCAACAACACTATTGCTGACTCCTCAGTGAAGCATTTGTCCCGTCGGTTATAGACCTAATGATTGCTACTATTTTCCCCTCCATTCTCAATGTCTTCACAATTCAAAGTTCACATTTTATAGCTAACCAGGCATGCAGCCTTACTCCCTGCTGCCAGAAAACCACCTGCTAGCAATTTTTTGAGGAGGGGACTCTCAAGCACGTGATCCACCTTGTATTTCAGAAACTATGGGTAAAGATGCTCCCTGTAGTTAGGTGTGCCAATTACCTTTCTGTCCAGGTAACCTTTAGTTTATTCACATGGATCACTCCTCACAAAGGAGGAAATAAAGCCTTGGTGCCAATGAAAGCAAGTTACAAGTCAGCTACACTCTAATAGGAAGTGGCACTTGAATGTGTTAAATCTTGCTGAGCAAGGTTTCTGAGTAATCATTTGCTTGAAGAGGAATATTTGACAAGCATGTTGCTGATTTTCCCCCTAAGCTGTTTCATAAGTTGCGGGCTACCTCCTGGTGTCTATGCACAGCAGGGATGCTGGAAAGCTGCTGGAAGTACTTCTCTACTTCATCAAGTAGCGACCAGCTGCCAAATCTCCCCAGACATGGGAGGCCAGAACTTTGCAGGTAAAACACAGCAGCAGAATGGACACTCATTGTGCATTAACAGGACATTTAAGTAAAAGACTTTAAGGGAAACTCCTGTTATTTTACAGATCTTCTACATCTTAATCTCATTAACAAAATAAGTTTCATTCATCAAAGCTACAAAACAAAGTGTTCTCAGGTCAGTGTGTCTACTCCAGTGCAGTCTGAGCAAGATTCTGCCTAAACCACCAATTTCCCCAGTAAGGAAATGGTGACTCCCACAGTTGGGCTGGACAGTTTGGATCTTCAGCCTGGTAGAGTTTGTTAGAGGCATCTCCTCCAGCCTCCCCCACACAGCTGCTCTGCCCTGCTGCCCACATCCCAATGTGGGTGAGCACTGCTCCACGAGACAGTGAGGAGAGCGTGGGGGATGTTCTTCCCCATTGCACCCCTGCCTGCAAATCTCAGCAGTGACTCTGGTGGCTGATGGACAGGGATGAGCCCTTAGATCCAGACCTGCAAGTCTGAGTATGCACTTTGGTCTCCCATCCCTCTGAAGGCACCCAGGACCCTCTTCCCAGTTTGGCTCCCAGGCTGCTTCCCAGTTTGGGTACAACAGGGGACACTCAAATGAGAGAGAGCTCATGCATTTTATGCTTGCATGGAATGAGGCAGAAAGAAGAGGCCAGTGCCTCTCAATAAATACTTTACCTGTGTTATTTTGAGATTATATTGACACCTGAACATTTTTGTAATTTCTTTCTTTTTGCAAATGGGATTTTAACATTTCAAAAGCTGCAAAATCTGTACAGTATTATGTATTTCAGGAACAAAGAGTCACACACCAATGCTATTTGAAATCCTCCTGTGGATCTGTGGACTTTGCTAGCTTTGAATGAAATCTCAAGATATTACAGGAAAATGACAAGGGACTTCTTTTTGCTCTATGCACTGATCCCAGTACTTAAACGGTAAAAACCTTTTTCATAATGGAAGCCCTTGAAGATCTGAGACATATCACCTGCAGAAGGCAGAGCTGAGGGATTGATGCTCTAAAGGCTGGCATAATCCAGCAGGGGGGCTGTGCCATGTGGGAACATGGGAACACACACATCCACAGCTGCACGTGGACTCTTTCCTGCCAGGGCACAGCACGTGGTGCTGTGAAACCATCCTGTGCTTTTGATGGTGGTTTTTGTCAGCTCTGATATTCAAAGTTGCTCACCAAGACACGTTTTGCCCTCATTCTGCAAATTAGAAGTCTTTAGACGTGTATTATACTGATTTAAGTAAAGATTGGGGGAAATCTTTTGGAAAGACCATCAAGTACAGCTTCTGTGAAGATGACAATGTCCCTCTGGGCTCTGTATTCAAAACTCACTACACAATATGGGACAGTGCATTTAGAACATCTCAGTCTTTTTAAATTAGTCTCTTCTTGTCATCCAGACTCTCTCTCTGGTGGTTATCTTATCTTAAAATTGTTAAAATTGGTCAGTTATTCCAAATACAGTATTAAAGTGGGATGTCCTATCTTTGGGATTCATAGAGGATATATATAGAATGTCACACCACAGCATGCAAATGGATGGTATGGTTTTTAAAGGTACATTAAGGTCTGAGCTCCATTAAGGAACACAGGGAATATTTAAAATATAATATTTAAAATATTAAGGCAAGAAGACAGTCTGTGCTATTTTTTAACCTCTGTAAAGTAAAAAGCTAAAGAGTAAATCTAAGTTATAGTACACATTTTCCTTTGACTGATTTTATATAAAGGAGTTATTCCAGCCTGTTTCTTACTCACCATTTCGACAATCTCTCCTTAAAAAAATCTGCCTTCACTTAAAATTTCCAAGGATTCAAGCTTTCTAACTGGAATAAATAAATAAGCCTTTCTTTACAGATAGCTATAAATTAACCCAGCAGCCAGTGCAGCAGGAATGCCCGTTAATCTCTGCTAACTCACCAGAAACATGCAGTTCCCAGCAGGGAGGAAGCTACATTTCTTCTTTAAGCCCTGTCATCCGAAGACATCTCCTCTGAGCACCGTGGTGTAATACAAGGTTCCCTGTGCTCTTGCTCTGAGTATGCTACGAGCTGTGATTCATTCTGCTCCTGAGTCATGTGTGAAGGCCAGTCCAACAGGTGAGGTACACTCCAGCCCCTGAAAAAACACACCTCTTTAGTGGGACCATTTACAGCACGAGGTGAATGACCTTTTGCCAAAGAATGAGCTGTAGCAACTTCCAGTTTATTTGCTCAAGTTATTGGCATAATCAGTATTAAAAGAGCAGGCTGAGTAGAATGACACTCAGTAATAAGTTACCCTGCAGTTAAAATAAATGATAATGTTCACTCCACTTGGCTCAGTCCTCATTGCATACAGGAAGCATGTCCTGATAAAAACACGTATTATCCTTTTTTTTCCCCCCCTTTTTTTTCAATGAATGACCATTCTAAGGCTGTCAGAGAATTTTACCAGAGCAAACAACTTTGCATACAAAGCTTGAAGCACCAGTCAGAGATTTTGCCATCCCAGTTTCACAGGTACTAGTAATGCCTGGCTAAGTTAATAGTCTGCTAAGGGTCTCTGCAGATGGATGTGCTGTTTTTTGTGCCAGTCACATTGGGAAAGGAGGATTCCTCGTCCCTGAACTACATGATTCATGGATGGAGCTGCACACAGCAAAGCAAGAGAGATGCATCTCCCCAATGGGCTTGGGACACATAGCTAGCTCTGGTTAGCTCCAGCTGAACCACAGATGGTGGGTGTAGTATCCTTATGTTTGTCCTGTTCTTGTTGTTTTTCAGCTTGAAACAAAGTGTTCGAGGTCATGTTTGACAGGGCTTGATTGGAGCAATCTGGTCCAGTGGAAGGTGTCCCTGCCCACGGCAAGGGTGTTGGAATGAGATGATCTTTATGGTACCTTCCAACCCCGGCTATTCTATGATTCTATGATCTTTGGGATTGAAGCTTTGTTCTGTTGCAATTAATCCTTTGAATCCCATCTCACATGCAGAGTTTCCCTGTGAAATATCACCCAGCAGACGTGTGCTCCCCAGAGATGTTTCACTGCTCAGCCTCAACCTGGCAGCAACTGGATGGGAGCTCAGAAACGCATCCCCCAGGAAACAAGAGCTGCTCCCTGCTGCTGGAGGCATGTCCAGCCAGGACATCCCACCACATGGTAAATCATGCTGTCTTTTCCCTCTCAATTCCAGCTGGATCTTTTTAGAAGTACCACCACAATGGGAAACACTTTTCTAGCATCTTTGTGAGCTTTTTGTTGCCAGGGAAAGGGTGCACATGGACAGAACAGTGAGTGGTCTCACAATCAAACCCTCTGGCCTTGGGAAAGCACAAAGAAGACGCTTGGCCCCTGCAGAACAATCTCTGAGTAGAGGGATGGAGACACTGGCCATGGTGAAGAGGTGACTGTAACATACAGATGGTGACTGCAAAACCCCAGAAGGTTCCTTTTCATCTCAATTTCTATATGGCTTGATGTATATATCTAGGGTCAGGATGCAGGTAGGTGGCTGAGATATGTTTAGGACTCAGATGATGTACACACAAATAAAAGCAGTTCCCCATTGGTTAGAGATGGCTCTTGTGCCCAGTAATCCTCACCTTTTCCAGAGAATGACAAAAGCGTTCAGGAGCACTCCTCTCCAGCCAGGGTGTGAGTATGTGATTCTGTGTCTCCCCTGACAACACTGGCACTGGTTAATGGGAGATATCTTTTTTACTTCTTGGAGATACTTTCAGCATCTTTGGCCAGGAAGCAAAGTGGAGATAAGATCTGATTTGTGTTCTGTTTCCTCCTCGGATTTGTCTTCACTACTCTTGGGAAGAATTTCTCTGACCTTGGTGTTTTAATTTTGCTTATCTTTTTTGATCCCTTCAGTGTCTTTGACCTGAAATGCCTGGTTACAGAATAACTAAACATTCAGGGTTGGGTTTTTTTTCTTTCCATGTACAAAAGCAGAGTTCAAATGCAGCAGGAAAGACAGATTTTTTTATTATTTTTGTGAAACAATCAGATAGTTGCTTTCATTCTGAAAAAATTTATATCAAAATAATCTTTGGTTAAAATTCACAAACACTGTGTCAAAGACATAATAATGAATAACAGACATAATGTGTTTGAAATGTGCTGTCATAGCAGAGCCAAGGATGCATTACGTGGGAGCAAGTGTACTGGAGGGTATTTAAGTCCACTTCAAAAACTCACTGCAAATGAAACTTTAATTAGTTTGTGCATAAGCCTGGCAAAAGCTCAGCATGGAGTTACAGCATTTGCAGGAGCTTTAACTACAGCCAGAAGTGAGAATCCATCTCAGGGTTTAAGTCCTGGAGGAACAGCAGGTGAAATTCAACACACAGTGACATGTTCAGTGCCTGGATCTAATACCTGGAAATTAATGCTGAGCAGCAGCTGGATTCTGGGTTCAAACTCACAACTTTTGAGCAATCCAGACACACACATACATCCCTGGCCTTTCTGAAGTGTTTGTGATAAATCCAGGGCTTCACCCAAAACCTCAGAGAACTAGTATTTGCTGTCACCACACAGGACATCTCCTTCCAGCCTTTCTTCCAGCAATTGCCCTCACTGCCTCTGGAAACTATGAGTATTTTTCAGCATCTGAGATATCATGAGGTCAAATTTTTCACCATCTGAGATAAGGCCTGAAATTACACTCTGTGCTGAACAGTGCTCCTCTCGTTTGGGGCCTGACAGCCATGAGTGCCTGTAATCACTTAGTTATTGTGCAATGACGAATTGTTCCCTGTTTATGATAAGTCAAACTGTTTGCCTTCCCTTCTTTCCAATCTACCTTCCAACCATGCTGGGAGCTTTAATCTCTTCTTTAAAATAATCCATTGCTTCATCCTTGCTATCCTCTTGTTTATATTTTTATTTATTTTTGCTATAAACTTTAATGTACACATTGAGATAAGGTGACCAGAGTTAAGTGTCCTGCCTGTGAATAAACCAAGTATTTTCACAGGACTCCCCAGGTAACAGAGAATTTTAAGTTTTTTGCATATTTGATTTTTACATACTGATTAGGAAATTACCTCAGTGTTTGGCAGCATATTCTCATTTTCTCAGGGTGTGGGAATGTAAGCACCCCAGCTAGGATTGCCTGACATTTTTTTAACTTGTAATAGCAATTTTTCTTTCTTTTCTCCTTATTACCATCACAGGAGACAATGGCATCTTCAGAGTCTTAGAGAAGAAAACCCTAATGGTGAGCAAACAGACATGAAAAAGGGAAGGAATATACACAGCACGGCGTAATACAACATAATATTTCACTTTTTTTATTGATCCTTCCCTCACGTATCTGCCATAAAATTCTGCCACCCGTTTTCCAATTTACATATTTTCACAGGCATATAGGATATTTAAAGATTCTCACAGTCCTTGCTGCAGAAATTCCTAGTGTCAAAGATTGTAGGATAGACAGTGATTTAAATGTGTAGGGAATTTGTGTATGTGATTTACATTAAAAGCTACACAAATAAACCATCTTCCCATGGGGTGAAAGAATGTACTTAGCAGAATGATAAAATATTTTCATACTTATGTTATGGGAGGAGACAGTTCTTTAAGTGGTGATTCTGACCCCATCGTTTACAAGAAAACATTCCTTGAGTTACTGTCACTGTTAAAATGAAGCTGCCCATGGAATGAGAAACTGAAATCTGTTTTTCAAATGCTGTCAGAACCAGATCAGTGGCTGTGGGGTCAACACCCCTTTCAGTCCCTGACATTTTTCACATTATCTTCACACCGAGGCAGCGCGGATAATTCCCCATCAGGGTTAAGGGGCCTTGGGTGACACCACTCAGGAGCGTGGACTCTGTGGTGCTGGAGCCTCAGGGCAGCACAGACCCTGAGGGCCGCCCTGATGGCTTCCACCACCACACCAAGATCACAGAAGTGTTAAGAGTTGGAAAGGACCTCTGGAGATCACCCAGTCCAAGCCCCTACCAAGGCACGGTCATGTGGACCAAGTGACACAGGTGAACATGTCCAGGTGGGTTTGGAAGGTCTCCAGAGAAGGAGACTCCACACTCTCTCTGGGCAGCTATCCCAGTGCTCTGCCACCCTCAATATAAAGCACTTCTTCCTCAGGTTGAGATGGAACTTGTATTTTAATTTATGGACACTGCTCCTCATCCTGTTGCTGAGCACCACCCAAAAGACCCTTGTGCTAGCATCTCAGGAGACATCTTTATGCATTAACAAGATCCCCTGTCAGTCTTCTTCAGGATAACCACGATACGAAGGTATTATGGTCTTAGAGAGTGTCCAAAGGAGGCCACGAGGATAGGGAAGGGTGTGTAAGGGAAGCTGTATGAGCTCTATGAGGGCACTTGTTGGGTCCAGCCTGGAAGAGACTGAGAGACCTCATTGTGGTCTTCAAGATCTTCCTGAGGGAGAGCAGAGGGGCAGACACTGCTCGATTCACTCTCGTGACCACTGACAGAACCCCAGGGAACGGCACAAAGATGAGTCAGGGGACATTAAGGTTGGATGTCAGGAAAAGGTTTTCAGAAGGTGGTCAGGCACTGGAAAGGCTCCCCAGGGAATGGTCACGGCCCCAAGGCTGCAGAGCTCAAGAAGCGTTCGTACAACGCTCTCAGGCACAGGGTGGGATTATTGGGGTGTCCTGCGCAGGGCTATGGGTTGGACCCGATGATTCCTGTGGATCCCTTCCAGCCCAAGTTCGCCCAAAACCCTGATTTTATGACAATGGCGGCACCGCCTCAGTGCTGAGGGCAGCCCCTCCGCGGGGCGGGTCCCTCTGCGTCATCACCGCGCGCGGCGGGAGCCC